TTTGTTAAAAAAAAAATTTAAGAACTTCAAGAATGAGACAGTGGACCATTAAACCAAGCCCTGGAATCCCTCTTCTGCGACTGCAAGGGTCACTTGCTCCAGAAACCCGCCCTGCTTCATAGGTACCCTTTCTGTGAAGGGACTGGCCACCTTAGAATCCTCAATTCCTTCTGACCTGGGGTGGAGATGAGGGGTACGTAGGACACCCTACTTCCCAAGACTATCCTTATTCGAGAACACACCCTAGGACAGCCTCCGTAAATTTGGCATCACTTAAGCTAGGTTAGAAGATCCCCAGGCACCACCTCTCCAAGCCGCTGGGTGGTCCTCACGACCCCGCCCTGGCTCCACCTTCGGGGTGTGTGGGCCTCACCGCGTGCGGCCCATTGCCAGGGCAACCGACGCCGCGAGCGGTGCATTGTGGTCTGCAACAAAATGCAGAAGAAAGATCCTGAGGGAACCTTTGAGTACATGGACCAATGGGAGAGTCCGGAGGTCTGCATCAAACCAGTAGGGACGCTCGTTGGGGGCGGGGCATGCGGGAGCGGGGCGGGACCTAGGCAATAGGCGGCGGCGGCTGGCGTGGGGCTCCTTAGATGCGCCACGGCTTCGATAGCGATTGTGCCATCTGCCAGGTCTGAGCCTCGCTAGCCCCTCCCCCAGGAGACTATTGCAGTCGGCCAGCTCCTACTCCAACGGTGAGGGACGTGGGAACACCGGGGAGCGGGGCTCCGCTGCCTGACTTCGTTCCCCTCTGTACTTCCCCCGTTCGGTCTGCGCGGCCGGCGCCTCCTAAGGAAAACGGGTGGGGGGCGGGCGGAGCGGGCAGGTGCAGCTGGCGTCTCGCAGGCGCTGTCCACACCCCAACTCCCCATCCCTTGCCCCGGCCTCGCCCCCCAGGTAGCCATGTGCGACCGAAAGGCCGTGATCAAAAATGCCGATATGTCGGAGGAGATGCAACAGGACTCGGTGGAGTGTGCTACTCAGGCTTTGGAAAAATACAACATAGAGAAAGACATTGCGGCCCATATTAAGAAGGTGAGGACGGGGCGCGGGCTGGGGGCTAGGCTCTGGCCGTTTGCGCGCAGCCGGTGGGTGGGTGGGGGACGGGGAGTTACAACTTTGGTCCATTTCCCCGGTGCTGCATCCCAGAGCGCCTGGCAGAAACCCTCCGGGGCTCGAAGGGCAGCTCGGGTATAGAGGTTTCCAGAAAGAACGCAAGTGAATTTTGCGCTCCTCGTGGGAAGACCAGACCCTCGGCGCCGAAGTTTTTTTATTACCCAGTTCCGCGGGGGAAAGCGCCACCTAGCAACGGTTTCTAGGATTAGGGAGCAGCGGTTCCCCCTTCTGCAGGATTCCTGCGCCGAGGATCCATCTGGGTGTTCCGGAGGGGGGAGCTGCGTGGGTGTTTCCAGCCGGGCCGGAGGGAGATCTTGCCAGCCTTGCAGTGGGGAGTTAAAGTCGGCAATTGAGGGAAGGTGGGTGGTTAGTGGTGGTTGGGGGCTGGGGTGAGGGCTTGGTAAATGGGAGTCTGTAGAAAGCTGGTAGGACTGCCAACTTCGAGCTATGTTTTCTGGAAGGGAAGGAAGCTGGCGAAGCCGTGGGAGGGTTCCAGTCGAGAATAGGAAGATGAAAGACGAGACGGAACTGAAATACCTTTTTTGACAAACGCAGTAGTACGGTAGTTGAGTTTGTAAGAATGTTACTCCCTTTAATAGGTCTAAAAGATGTTCACGCTGCATACAGTGTAAGAGTGGCCACATTTTGCATAACTCATCAGAGACTTGTAAGATTTTATAAAGATTAGTTTTGGCCCCTTCTTACAGTCAACTAGTGGAGACATTAACAGGTGTTTCAGTCTCCAGAGGCCCTGAGTTGGGGGTGGGGGGGTGGGGGATAGAGAAAGCTGTCCTGCAATTATGGACCAGGTTGCAGATTAGTATCCTCCCGGAAAGAAGTGCAAAGGGAGGACTGTTGAAATTCAAATGTGAGCAGGTGGCTGTCAGAATTTGGCTTCCAGCATTCTTTTTGTAGGAACACAGGAGTGCCCAGCATCCTGTCCTCTTTTAAGTTTAGATTTTGATCCAAAGTGGTTTGCATGTTGAGGCTTTGTCCTTTATGAAGTCTTTGTTTTCAGTGATACTAAGGAATGAGCTTTAATGGGGTGTTTTGGTTTAAATACTTGCCATTTTCTTGGGTTTTGTGGTGCATGACACAGGAGGATAGAATAGTTTGCTCTTTGCACATAATAACCTGATAAACTAGAACTGTTGCTGTCACCTGTGGGTGAATAGCATTGTAGGTTATTTATGATGACATGATCACCATAACAAAACGCCCTGTCTTTCAGGCTGCCCTTTCTGCCTTTTACCTCCCCAGCCCCAATTCCCAGCTTTTCTCAGACTGCAAGCATGTTTGCATTAATACACTATGTAGGCGACTTGGAGCTGGGGAACATTCTTTCATTCTAAGAATCTGCAGATGCTAACGTTCCTTCTTTCTGCCTCCGTATCCAGAAGGCAAACTGACCTAATGGTTTAGCAGTAAAATTCTAGTGTTCTCTTTCTTTCCCCCCTTCCCCCCAGGAGTTTGACAAGAAGTACAACCCCACCTGGCACTGCATCGTGGGGAGGAACTTCGGTAGTTACGTGACACATGAAACCAAACACTTCATCTACTTCTACCTGGGCCAAGTGGCCATTCTTCTGTTCAAATCTGGTTAAAAGCACGGACTGTGCCACACACCCAGTGATCCATCCAAAAACAAGGACTGCAGCCTAAATTCCAAATACCAGAGACTGAAATCTTCAGCGTTGCCTAAGGGAACACCTCGATCTTTAAACCTTCATTGTGTTGTTTTGTACAGGGCATTCTCTGTACTAATTTGTTGTGGTTATAAAGCATTTAGCAAAACAGCTTACATTTGTATTTATTTTCTATTCCATACCTCTCTTCCCCATGTTTTTCCTCCTCAAAATCCATTCCTTTCAAGAAAAATAAATCTGTTGGAGAACTGTGTGTGACGGTTTGTTGAGAAAATCTAGGGTTGACGATGGCCTATCACTTGATCTTGACTAGGACAGTGGGGGTCAGTCCATGAAGTTTCTACAGGCTGTACAGTCCATTCAGTACTCCTGAGTCTGAAATCATCCTATAGCGATTGTGCGTGGAAGAGTAACATAAGTGCCTGCCAAGATACGCATGGCAGCAAAAATTGGATTAAATCTTACTTCTAATCTGATAAATACCCTTAAGTACTCATTTTGTTAAAAGGTGTTGCTGTAGAATGATTTGGTCCTTGGGCTTCAGGTGGTGGTGATGAGTGTATAGCAGAACTCCTTTGTCTAATAAGCTATGGCTGTAAAATTGTAAAAGGAAAAATAGCTAATGACAAAGTGTTAATGAGAAATTTGCTGGGGTCCACCCCCTCCACCTTGCTTCAAAAAGAAGATAAAAGGTGGTCTTAAAAGGGAACATGAAACAGCACCAGCAGCACTCCATGTGATTCTAATAAAGTTCTTGCAGGAATTTAAATGCAAAAGCCAGCAACTCCGTTAGAAATCTGATAAGCAATTAACAAATACGAGTTAAGCTTTCATTAAAAGACCCAATTAGAGCTGTGGATGAGTAACATTCTTTATAAACATTTCCTGCTATCAATTTTAATACTAAACACCTATGAAGAAAAAACACTGCGGACTTGACTTTTGTAGGTACAGAAGTATCCTAGAGGGTGAAACAGCTCACACCCATCTTGGGAAGTTGCAAAAGAAGGTCCTGGCTTTCCAGTTCCCCCGTTTTCAGTGTTCATGTAAGTGTTCATGTTTTTGTTTCAGGCCTTGGATCTAAAATGCAGCTAGGATTTCTGAGTATCCAGGCTACTGCTGTACAGAAGGGTGTGATAGATTTAAGTGGTGACTATCCTAAAAGCATTGGATCTATTAACATCTTTGGAAGCTTTTTCAAACTAACAGGGTTTTATGAGTCCTAGTGAGGCTGTGCTATATATGTTAGGACTGGGAAAGCTTCAGGGTAAGTGGCAAAATGTGTTACTGCTTATTGTGGCAGGTAAAATTGGGAGTTTTCTTACTGCTTTGCAGGAAAGGATGAAATCCTGTGGTATAGGAGTGCAATGGGGAGGTTTAAGTTTGTGTAATATATACACAGTATATATATATATACACACACTGGAAAGTTTCCCATGACTCAATTTTTTTCTATCACCTTTTTTAGTGACCTGGCTATATTTCATTTTAAAGTAGGAATTTGGTCTCCAAAGCTAATGAATTTTGTCTTAAGTCCTACTACCAGTCTCCAGCAACAGACCCTAGAGCTGATTTTAAGTCCAGAAACAGCTGGATATTGGGGGCTCTAATTTGATCATGCCCATTATCTATTGCCCAGAAGTGGCTTTAATTGTTTTGATTCAGGTGTGAGAAAAACACATTGCTACAGAGGTAGACTGGGTTGGTGGTTTATGAAGTTCCTTCAGTGCCTGTTCCCTGTTAATTTCAAAGGCCAAAGGATTTAATTTCAAAGGTTCCAGTAGTTGAAAACAAAATGTAAGCTAAACGTTTTTCTAAAGTTTATTTTAGAGCTTTATCAAATGCTCTTAGCTCCTGTTTTTTTTAGATAATTGTAAGACAGATGTATATAAAAGCTTTTCAACAACAGGGCGTGGTATGTGCATGAAAGTATATAAATGACCTGTACTGTGCTAGGCCAAATGGCAGCGTATCAATCTTTTTGAAATAGCCTTGAACTAAATTATCCACAATTAACTAACTGCCAGCCAAGGGACAGGTTGATTTCTGCAATTTCTTAGCAAATATTTATGACCTCACTTGAACATCAAACAATGGACTGTATTAAGTAGATAACAGCTCTACCCCTGAGTACTAGAGGGACTAAGGCTAGGTAAGTAGTTTTCAAATTTTTTTTTACTATATAACCCTTTCTTCAAATGTATTTTGACAAGATCTATATTGGACACAAAAGCGGGAATTTGCTAGTACATTTATTCTTTGAACAAGGATTTGTTGAGTTGTTTTCTTTGTGACAGGCACTGAGGACACAATTTTTCAGTAGAACTGAGAATGATGACAATGTACTTCCCTCACCGTCCTCAGGAAAAAATAAATACCATACAAATTGTAAACCCATTTAGTGGTTCACTGCATAATTCTAGATGTGATTGTTAGCCTTCGCTGTCTTGAGCCTTGGCCTTTGGCCCCAGACTTAGTCCTAAGCTGAAAGCTGGACTCAGGCACAGTTAAGAAATTTTCTGGTTCAAATGATTCATCATTCCTCTGGCAGGCAGTACTGGCAGGAAAGCAACACACTTCAAAACTGAGCTTTAGTGATGGTTTTACCTTAACCCCACACTGCACAGCCAAGAAAAATTAGCAGGAGTTGAAAAACTACCAAATAGCTCTGGGAGAAGGCCTGAAGCAGCTCCTAATGAAAGCTGCAATAGGGTGACAAATTCATTTCTTCCACTTGGAGATTGGTCACATTAGAACATGAGTCCGAGGCAATTATCCTTAAGAGATAGTCTGCTGGTCTCGCTAGCCAGATTATCCTTCAAGCTCTAGGCTTTCGACAGAATGTGACTGGCTCATGCTCCAGGATGGTACAGAAGTTACAGTTTGAAGCCAGAATGAATGGCCACAATGCCTGATGTTAGACTTTCATAAGTCACCTTCTCAAAACCTGCATCTTCTATCAATTCCTTGAAGTCCTCCTGAAACAAAGATATCACAAGGATTACCTGGATTTCAACTTTGGGGCCTCTGTGGTAAGCTACAGAAGTTTTGTACCTGAGACGGGAACTGTCGGATACTCTCTACAAGGTATTGGTAGGACTTCCAGTCTCCTGCGATGACTTCTCCTAGGACAGGAATGACCTGGAAGCTATATAGATCATAAAGCCTAAACAGCAAAAGCAAAAGATTTATGCCCCTTGACAGGAAGCAAGAATGTCTAAGCCTGGGGTCATAAACTCAGATGTCTATGGGGTCATGCAAGTACCTGAAATAAGTATAGTGGGGCACATGGAAGAGCAATAGCATGTAGTAAGGATGTGGTGACAGGTACAGTTAGGAAGTACCAGAGAAGTGGAGAAGGGGCAACTACTACTCAGCTCTGATTATTTCCAAGTGGGAATGTGTGCTTATGTTGCCCCGTAACTGATTTCTCAAGTGAAGTTGAAAATGCAGATTTTTATGTAAAATTTACTGTAAAATATTGACATCTAAGTCAGTTTCTTCACATACTATGTATATGTCACACAGAATACCTCTGTGTGTGGACTGGAGCCTCTGGTTGCTGGTTTAAGACTCTTCTGGCTTAGCTGTCATTCAGAAGAGGCTGACCTCTGAAGTGGCACTGTCTCTCAGAGACTCTGGGATTCTGAACTGTGAAGTTCGTACTTATAGCTTACTGGCTATTTTCTATCCATTTTGGGATGGGAAACCCTTGGCTAGATGATGAGAATAAAGCCCTGTTAATGCCAACCTGGATACAACAGGATTGTTCACTTGGCTAAATTCCAGACAGAGGAAGCGTCCTCCACGTTTCAGGACCCGATGGGCTTCCTGGAGTGCCTGATCGAGACAAGAAACAACACAACACACTTCTCAGCAGAGCTCATGCAGTTCTGCAAGGCCGAGACAGCTTTAGCTTCTGTGGGCATTATGAAGGTTATCATTCCCCCACAGATCCCTTGTTCATATTCAGTTGGGAAGCTGTGACAGCCAAGATAACCCTACAATATCCTAAATATTATAGACATTCTGCTGCCTATAAAGAGAAGGTTAGTTACTTGGAGTAACCTAGATTGACTCAGATTGGTACAACCCCTTTGGTGGACAACTTTAGAATTACTTATCAAAATCACAACATCCTCTCATCTATCAAATTTACTTCAAGAAGTCATATGTTCAAGAAATGCTTTTACTGTGGAAATGACATGGGTTCTTCACTGCAGCACAAGATTAAGAGCATCTTAAACCATTAATGAGAAACTGGTTAAATTATGGAATATCTATACAAATGGAATCTATGCAGCTATTTAAAAAAGGAAGAGCCAGTGCTTTTTATGTACTGACATGTAAAAATCTGCAAGATACATTTTCAAGGAAAAACAGCAATGGGCAAAATGCTTCATATGTTAATATTTGTATAAAAAAAGGAAGAAAAAGATAAATATATTTAATATGCACAAATAATCTTTGCAAAAGATACACAAGAAATTGGTGACTGTCTGAAGGGAGAGGAGGCACTGAATGGTTAGGACACAGAGTGGAGGCAGACTTTCACTGATATACCCATTTTGTACCTTTTGAAACTTGACTCTATTAAAAAAAATTTTTTTTAATTGAAAGAAATAATGAACTGGCTATAGACACAGGACAGGTCATAAAAACCAAGCTCAAGCACACCATAAAAGACGTTCCACCAGCAGAGGAACCAGCTAACTGGAGCCTACATTACATAAATGAAACCTGGTGCCTTGCATATCATCTTCAAATGCTTTGGACAGAAAGTTAAAGTAAAAATAAAAAACTGCTGCATCACATTAGTAGCTGAACATACTAGAGGAACCATGAATCTAGTTACCTTCTGACAAAAGAACGTTTCAGTGCCTTTTTCTGTGTGGCTTTGGAAATACCTCTGATCTGCAAACTCACAGGGTCATATGGCTTCATAAGCAAGAGGGAACAGATGAAATACCAGAGCAAGACCAACAGCTAAGAGATGAAGGGATCTGTTCTATGTTTTTGGCTTTTTCACTTCTGTGACTCAGAATATTGGCAACTTAAAGGATTGAAGCCCCTAAGCCTGAAACAGCCATTCCATTCAAAAGCTGAACCAGGAGAGGAATCTCTCCCTCTTTCCTATGCACTGTGGAGTCACTCCAGGAGAACTAACATCCTAAGGGTCACAGCTGAGGGTCCAGCCATTCATACCCGATCAATGTGTGTGACATTCCGTATCCCAAAGGCAATGGTGTAAACATCAAACTTGTCATCATCAAAGGGTAGTTCTTCAGCATCTCCTAATACCCAAGCAAGTCCTGAAAGAGAAAATCAGTTCTGGTCTCAGTCTGAGTAGCTTTCTCTTCTGCACCCAGCAAATTTTTAAGCCTGAGAAGGTCCCTAAATTTGTAGTCAGTCAGGTGGAAGTGTGGGCAGCCTGGACACCCCATGTGCAGCTAGCTTCCGAAGTCGGGGCAGTCTTGTGGCACTGAGCCTTGTCCTGTGGAACCTGAGGCTACCTCTGGGTAGTTGGTGTCTCAAATGAATTGACCTTTTGGATGCCCAGTTGGTGTGGGAGAACTGTAGAATCGTTTGGTACTGGACATATGTGTGGTATCAGAAAACATTACACACCTGCCTTCTCCATTGGATTCCTGGCCATTGTCTTCACTATGTCCTCCTGTCCTGAGAACTTGAAGTGGTGTCCTTAAAGTTAGCAGGGAGTCCTTCCCCCAAGGCTTTCAAAGCAGAACCTGACGCATACTTACTTAGGCCTACCCCAGCCACTTTTTATCCAAATAAATGTTTTGTGGAGAGCACTGTGGTTAAGAGCCCAAGTCCTGGGGTTGCACTGCTTGGGTTCTAATTCCAGCTTCACCATTTATTAGGTGTATAGTCTTGAATAAACTACTTTGCCGTGGTTTCCTCATTTGTAAAAAATTGAGTTATAGTACCTACTTTTGAGGGTCATTGGAAGTATTCTAATTACAGAATTTAGCATAGTTAAATTAGTTCTATTGGAGTCATAGATTATCAAAGTATCTAGACTCCAAGTCCGGTTATGAATTCAAAAAACATCCAAGGATACCCCTGTCAGGGTGGCTGTGTCTTCTAAGGATCTTGATTTGGTTTTAACATTATTCAACTTGCAAAGAATTAGACATGAAATATGATACAGAAGGAAGGCTATATAGAGGAAGGTAATTGAAGATAACTTTCCTGGAAAGCAAACTAGTAGTATTTAATAAGAACCTTAAAAATAAGCATACCAGCTATATGATCCAGCCATTTGAGATTTAGGGGGACATTGATGACATGATCATCATCATTGCTACTGCCTACTGAGCCCTTGATGGCAGGGTGTGTTATCACCTTATATATGTTATCACATCCTCATACCAACTCCATGAGACAGCTATTACTATCATCTTCATATTTTAGGTGAGCAAAGCTGAATATCAGAAAGGTTAAAGCAGCTTGCCCAAGGTCACACAGATGGATTGAACTCAGTTTTTAACAGCTGTGTTTTTAAGAGAGCCTATGTTTTATGGTTATGGTTTATTACCTCCTACTATGAGTGGTTATTATTTTCTCCATTTTATAGATAAAGTAATTGAGATCTAGAGAGTTCAAGCACTTGTCCAAGGTTACATCTGAGTTATAAAAATTAATGCATGCAAGAATTTACAAATAAGGATGTTGTTAGGTGTGCTATAGGCAAAACACCAGAAAAAAAATGAAAGTCCACCTGGCTATTGGTTATGTGAATCTTCATGATTCACATCCATATGGGAGAATATCATAAACAATAATGATTTTAAGGAATTTTTAATGACATGGAAAACTCTCATGATACAGTGCTAAATTAGGGCAGGATACTAAATTATATATACCAGAAGTTCTCAATTTTATAAAAAGGAAATGATTAGCATAAAGATAGGAAGGAAATATAATACATGAAAATATAGAGGGGCATCTTTTGATATTGAAATTATGGGTAACGTTTATTTTCTTCTGAACACTTTTCCAAAATCCAAAATTTCTCTCAAATATATCATTTTTGTAACCCATTAAATAATTTTTTTCAAAGCTCCTGCTCTCAGAGCTTCCATCTGGGGAGGAAGTTCTACACATAAAATGTAAATAAAACACACAACAGTGCTACACATAAAAATGCCTGTCATGTTCACTTTTACAATTACTAAATACTTTCTAGACTCCTCCTTAGTTTCAACATTTTTTGCATGGTATTTTTTACGAAGATATCATTATTGGAGATGGATAAAGCAAGGAGAAAAGATAAAGAAACTATACTATGCAGCATTTAATAGCTCATACAGTTGGATTTGTCTTGACAGGATAGATTGAAGTGCACACTATGTTATGGAAGAGATGATTCTAGAAATGGAACAATACCTATCATTTCTATCTCTGTTCTCCATTCTTTATGGCTGAGCATGAGAGAGAGGGGAAAACATGTTTTTCAGTAGGAGTAAGGAAACATAGTGCCTTTGTCTAAAAACACTAGTGACTGTCTGCCTTCTGATCAGTGTTGTGTTGATGGTTAACAAAAGAGCCCTTCATCTTGGGGGCCAAGTGGGCTGTGGTTCATCTAGGCAGCTCCTTCTGGGGGTGGGAGGAGGAGGAGGAAGAATTGAATTAAAATAACCATAGATACTCCTGGTGGGGGATGGGAGGTGAGAAATGCTGAGAACTTTATTTTCTTTGTTTTATACCACTGCCTTTCACGTGGCTGCCTGCAATGCTTGGCCAGCTTGGAAGAGGGCAATGCAGCGTCTCTGAAAAGCTGGGCAATGTGGTGCAGCTGCCAGATCATTACTTCTACTTGAAAAAACTGGGGGAGACGTTATTTTAAAATATTAAGTAGAAAACCAAATGTAAAACTGACATCTTTAAGCTAGGGCATGCCTTGTCCATTTTGAGGCTGCAGTGGGTTCTTGGAGCTATGCAGTCACTCTCCCATCTGCTGTTGAGAGTACTGCAGAAAGAGGTCTTTGGAGCACTGTTTACAGGTGTCTTCCACTATATCACTTGGGTCCTCTGAGAAACAGATGTGGAGATGGAGTGAGGAGTGTAAAAGGCTGTGTTTTTTGTGGGGTTGGGGGATCACCTGGGAATGATAAGAGGAAGAGGGAGCAAGATGAGAAAAGCCTGTAGGCCTCAATCTGTAGGTATCAGATCTGTAGGCAGATCTGATAAAGCCCAGCCTACAAACGAGCTCTGGAGCAAAGACTGCCTGTTAAGAGAGTCCCGAGTGGACAATGTCCAGGCCCTAGTAACCGTACAATGCTCAGTCATCAGCTGGGTGTGCCAGGAAAGAGAATGGCCTGAAAGCTGAGGCAGAGCCTAAAGGTCTAAGACCTGGAGGCTGTCAGCTACCTGCATTCCCTGTGGCTGAAGGGCAAGTTCCTTCTTTAAGGGTAGTGTACCTCCTCAGCTCCTACATTAGTCAAACCTCCTAGTAGATAGGATGATGAAATGGCTCAAAAATAGGGCCTGGGATCTGTGGCATCTTACTACACTGCTGGACAGTGACTGCATTGGGATATGAGCGGGGACTTGATAATATGGGTAAATGTAGTAACCACATTGTTTTTTCATGTGAAACCTTCATAAGAGTGTATATCAATCATACCTTAATTTTTTAAAAAATCTTAAAAAAAAATAGGGCCTGGGGGTCATAGGGGTGCTGCTGGGAACTGTAAGTAAAATATCCATCTCAGGTCCAAGAACTGAAATCTTAATTCAGCTCCAACTGGGATCTGCCATTTAAAAGTTGTGTTGCTTGAGTAAGACACTTGACCTCTTTGGGCTTTGGTTATTGCCTGTCACCCATGGCTGATAGTCTGATTCCCTGAGTTGCTGAAATAATATAAGGCACAGCCCACAAACTGGACTAAGTGACACAAATTATTTTCAACTCCTGCATATCTGTACGTTTTTGAAAGCTGAAAAATAAACATTTTACATATTCCATCTTATTTCTTAAACATACAAATATTTCCTCCACATCCCTTTCTGTAGGATTTACCAGCTTTGTATCCTTGAGCGTAGGCTTTCTGTTTTCCAATCTTTAGCATTTCCCTGTTGATGTCACAGACCACAACACGTGAACCGCCCAAAGAATCCTCTTCATTTTGGTACTTTTTGGCGATTTCTTCCCAGGATAAATTTTGCTGGGCCCTTAACTGCCTCTTCTGCTTTCCCTGATGCTGTGCCTGAACATAATTAAGGAACCGGAATGCAATGTCACCTGTGGGAAGCCAACAGGAGGCAAGATGCAAACACACACACAAACAAAAACAAAAACCCCTAGCATTTCCTAAACCCAAAAGGAGCAAGACAGGTATAGGATTTGAGGAGTATATAAAAACTCAAGTTTATACAAATTTCTACAATATGTCAAGAAAAAAACAGCAATTTTTTAATTGATAAGATTCTTAAAAACCTTTTTTTAAAAACTGCGTAAGGAATGCATGGACACATTTTCACTATAAAAGACTCAATACCTAAACATATAGAGTAAAACGTGAAAGTTACATTCCCTGTCCAGACATAACAAGTGTTAAAAGCTTAGTGTGCAGCCTTCTATTTTTAAAAATAATTTTTATGAAAGTAACAGAAGGGTAACAAGCAATGATTCCCTGCCCTATCACTTCCAACCCCCAGTTCAATTCCCCAGAGACCATCTTCCCAACTCTTAGCTGTTTCTTCTGTTGGTTACAGCTATTTCTTTCCTTATCAAATTTATAATATCCTGCCCCACATCTCTGCTTGCCTCTATCTTCCCAATATATTTGTATCACTTTTCATAGTTCCTTATACATTCATTTGTAACCTAGAGTAATAAATGAATTAATATTTTATTTGTTTCATCAGCTGCAGATGGTATCTCGATTCCCTTCAACTTCCCATCATAGGTATTTTTACTCTGTCAAGACAATAACACTTTGTTTTACAGCTATAATTAAGTCTTCTGTGCTTTTTCGATGGTTTGCATCTGAACACTGAAAATCGAAAATGTTTACATTATTGTGACCAGGTAAATACTGTTTGGGCAAAGATCACACCTCCTTTCCTATGATGTTGTTTGTTTTTCTTACACTGTTTGCAAGAAACATATATCCTTAAGTTTGTTCAGTCTCTCCATCCAATTAGGTATTCATTCTCTAGTCACTTTTCTATATATTTAGATATACTTATATGTACTCATATGAAACAACAAAAACATAAATGGGGATTATATTATATGTTGTTATACAACTTTTTCTTTCCACTTAATATGTTCTTGAGACCTTTCCATCAGTATTTATAGGTCTTCAGCACTCTTTTAAAGAGCTACATAATATTTCACAGAATGGACATATCTTAATTTAAAGCCATTTCTTTATTGAGGCAGAAATAGGTTATATCCAATTTTTCACTATTACTCAAAATGATGCAGTGAGCATTTTTGTAACTGTATCTCTTTTAAATGTCTTTTTTAATATGTGGGATTACCTCGTGATTAAATTTTCTAACTGGGCAGTTGCCAGCATGTGGTAATGCCACGGGTTATGGTACACTAGATATGTAGGCAGCTCTGACTGAATCCTTTCCATAGCTATATCTTTGTGCAACTTTTTTTTTAGACTAATAAACATTTTAGATTTTGATAGATTCTGCTAAATTGGCTTCTACTCAGTAGGGTGTCTTACTGCCTCCAAAGCCTCCATATGGGGAGAGGACCACACCAACAAGGCCACACATAAACATGTGTCAAACATGGAGATTATTCTACTGTAATTTATTATTATACATTATTCTATTGGTATAGATTATAACATTACAATATACATTATTCTAATGAAATTTAACATGTACATTAATCATGTAGTGACTTCACCAAGATGCATTTTAGAAGCCTATGACATTTTTCTTCACATGCCTAGTGTGCACCAAGTCACAAAGGACCATACATAAACAACTGAGCTTTTGATATCCGATGTGATAGTGGATTAGGCAGAAAAGGCTGCATAGAAAGCTTATATAATATGATAAAAGGCATCCCCCAAAGAAAGGGGGCAGGTGGGTTGAAGGTTAAACAGAAGGTAAAACAGTCATTTAGGTGGTGATATGTCACTAGAGTAAAGGGTTAGCCTTTTTATTTTGTAATCCTGTGCATTTTAGAAAAATGACATGCACAAAGCTGATATTGTGTTGTTGACTGACAGTCAAAAAGAAGAGAGTAAGTTTTTCTTAGAACTGTACAGATTTTCAATTCCATCTTCATCCTAATGGTAGGTGAGACAGCTCATTCCAATAAGAGATACTAATTTCTGTAAAAGATGTTCAGTGTTACCCAAGGGTACTACACTGAACATTACCTGTGCCTCCAGCAACATCAAGCAGCTGGGTCCCAGGAAATGGGTGCATCTTCCGGAGCAGCAAATCCTTCCAAATACGGTGGATACCAAGACTCATCATATCATTCATCACGTCATACTTCTTGGCCACACTTTCAAACACCTGATAAACTGACACGGAAAAAATATAACACAGTTGTGCACTTAACAGGATCAACTTGGAGAAGTCCTAAAAGAAAGAGGAAGAAGCTTTTCTCCCTTGAAATTGCCTGTCTTTGCAAGGTGAAGCTAAGCCATAATGCTTGACACCTAAATCTGTCCCTTAACATTACCTTTTTAAAAAAAGGTTTAAATTACTTCATATAAGAACTCAGCCTCTTTCCTGCTTAGTTATTTTTAATCCAGGACCACTGCCTCATTTACAATGTCATGCACATACTTGGTACTAAATTGGTCTGTTTCTTTGAGGATGGATGTGTGTGTGTGGAATTTCTCTAACGGTTTTTATAATAAGACAACAAAATCCATTAGAAAGACACATGACTGATGGGTGGAAAGGCCTCAGCTCACCTCAGCCTGTATCACCGAGAAACACCTCAGGTACAACTTGGAAGGCAGATGGATGGCAAGATATGAATCAGGGACCAACCCTGCAATGTGTCCTCATGAATCTTCTCCATAGGATCAAGGCAGAATGTGGAATCTGGGCTAGCTGAAGAGAGGAATTTACTGACCAAGACACTTTAAAACATAGGCTACATTCATTTTTTTTTGCACCTCAGTTTCTCTGCCCAGAAGCTGAGAAAGTCAGCGCTAGCCCTTTACCTCGTTCATAAAGCTGAATGAGGTAGGGAAGTGGAGTTGCTTAGAATTCCTCATATGAAATGTGCTGCACAGATCCAAAACATTACTGGCCTCTGCTAATCAGCAGACTATAAGATCCTCCTTTAACTCAATCTTGGCCTATTCTCAACCTTGGGATCTCCAACCTTGTTTTTTACTTTTGAACATCTTTTGGGGGTATTAAGGGACATTAAGGCTCAAATAACTGAGTAAGCCCTTCTTTCTTTGCATGGTTCCAATATGCATGAATTTCAGTTTCTGTGGTTTAAATAACACCAGTCCCCGAGCAACATAATTCAAATACACAATATACTAACTCTGAGTAATTGCACAAAGTACAGACTTTGCTAGTGGTTCTTCAGTCCACAAATTGGTGTGAATAACAGATATGCATCATGATCAGTAACCAATTATGTCAATTCTTTCACACTTGTAGTTGATAGGTCATTACATATCAGTTACTCAGTTCACATACAGACAGCAAAGCATGTAACTGTGTCACCTCCTTATCTCAGTTGTAAACCCATGTGGCATTAAACAAAACTGGATAATTAGTGAACAAAAATGAAAGTACAGCAAGGAAATAAAAAGTGATAACATTGCAAGTGAAATCTGAGTAGAATGTCAGTGGAGAAATACAGGAGAAGCAGCTGACTGTGGAAAAGTTGACACTCAAGAGAGCCTAGATATGCAGCCAGAAGAATTTTGTGAAGATAAACTTTCGGACATAAATGAGGATGTGGTTGTGACGAAACAGTTGAAAATGTCCCAGAGGAAATGATGCCAGCAAAAAATTTCACATTAATGGAATTCTTGGAGATATTTCATGACATTGAAAATGAAAGGATGGAATGCTAGTAGCTGACTGTAACTTAAAAAGGAGTATGGCAATTTGCCAAGGCAGAGAGACGATGTTCACTCCTATTGTAAATAATATGATGAGAAAGTCAACACTGCTCCAACTACTCTCTTGTAACTTTTTTACAAAAGAATAAAACAACTTAATTCTCAATGTTTCTAATTTTTATTAGAATTCTAATTTGGTTAGAAAATTTAAACTTAAATTCTCAAATTTGAGTTATATTAATTAAATCTAATTTTAAATTGCAGTGTGTTAAATAAATTTTACTTTTTTCATTTCTTTATACATTTATAATTGAGAGTAAAAGTTTTTGATGCACAATAATTTTTAAGGGTTATGGAACAATTGTGATTTTTCGTATTGATTACTAAGATAACTGTGCATGATGTATGTAGCCTTGCATGCCCATTTTTACCATCCTGCATCACTGTGCAAAGGGGAAATTGCTTATATTTTAATCTTGGGTCCCAATCCAGATTCCATATTTAGCTCAGTGGGTAACTCATCTCCTACTTGTCATTGTGAAATGTTGTTTACATGATGTAAAGCACAACAGATGTTAGGCATTATTATTATTTTGGAATCAAGACTCTTGGATTAAAATCCCAGCTCTGCCATTTAGCAAAATCTCAGGCAAATGACTTAATATCTTTGTTTCAACAGTTTCTTCATCTATAAAACCAAGATAACAGTTTCTACCTCAAGGTGTTGTGTTTATAAGAATTAAAGCATTTTAAAAGGTTTTAGGCCCTTGATAAATGTTTACTATTATTCAACTTGGCTCCACTTACTTCACTCCACAAGCAGTTACAAAGCTCCTAATGTTCATCAGACACTTAGGATATAGACATTAATGAAACTGCCTAGCTTTCTGGGAAGTCATGGTCCGGTGAAATGTTAGTTTAAATTCAATATTCAAAGAGTTACAGTAGAGTTATGTACATAGTAAGGTTGAGGTGAGAGGTAATACAACCTAGTAGTCTTTGAGAGGACAGTAAATTCCATTGTGGGCTCTTATTTCCTGGGTGACCATAAACCAAGTGAAGGAAACTCAGAGCCTCACCTTATCCATCTGTAACATGGACATAATACCTTCCCCATTACAAATGGAGTTTTAGAAAGGTTCTTTTCCTTTCCCATGCCTGTGGCCCAGTGCTGTATACAAAAAACTGAACAATATCTAATCTTTATGGAGCAATTACGAAGTGCCAGGCATTGTTCAAAATTCTTTTATATATGAAGTAATTTAATCCTCACTATAACCCTAAAAGAAAGGTTACTATTATTCCTACTGGTAAAACTGGGAAGTTGAGGTACAGAGAAGATCATTTCCTTCTTAGGAAAAATGGCATATCTCTTTAGCAAGAAGAACGTGGGCCAGATCAAAGGGGGTTGGAATATTGGTTCCGCCACTTACTTGCTATGTTACATTAGGCAAGTTTTTATTTAACCTTTAAGTCTCAATTTTCTTATGTGTAACACGGAGAGAACAATATCCTCCATCGGGAAGTTGAAATGAGAATTGGAAATAATGTCTGCATAGTGCCTGGCACGTCGTAAGCGCCCAATCGATGGTATTTAGTGATAATTTTCTGCTTTAAAAGAGGAGGCATCTAAGCTCTGCGGGACCAGGTAGGGGGCACTCCGTGGAGATCAGAATTCACAGGCTATAGCATCGGAGCTAACAGCTGGGCAGAAGAAACTAGATCGCAGATAGATTCCCCCAACCAATATCTCGCCCTTTTCACCTTTGCCCCCCTTCTCTTTCTCCGGCACAGTCTCAAACCCGAAGTGCGTTTCCGTTGCCCGCTTCCCTTGTGACAAGTGTCGTTCACCCAGCGGGACCCCGGGCCAGGAGCTACGAAGCCGGGGGAGCCCGTAGCACAGCATCACCCGCGACGACCCACGACGGCAGTAGCTCCATAGAACGCAGCTCCTGGGAGCCGCCATCTTGGCAATCGGGTGACAGCTGCCGGACAGTGCGTCGCATTGCATCACTGGATGGTGACGGAGGCCGGTCGGAGACAATATTAGCCGAACGCGTCCTGAAACCTGATATTAAGGGGCTGTTCCTGATCTTTGGGATGCAAAGGTTGCTTAGTCTCTGAGTACTCGCAATACCTTCTTCTATCTTTTCTCAAATTGAATATAGAATTCACCAGGAATGAGAGGACCTTAGGCAGAGACTTAAGTCAGCTCTCAGCGGCTATGCCTCTGAATTTTGCCAACCTGTAGTAGGAATACTAACTCGCAAGATTTCGGGTAACTCTTGTTTTCTAGTGCAGAAGGGGGAAACTGAGGTACGGTGTGGTTACAAGGCACAGATACACCGTCAATTCTTTCAAACTTTGGTGTGCGTATGAATCACTTGGCTTGATCTTTAAGATGCCCCAGATAAAAGATAAGTTCCATCAGTAATTCTGGTATGGGTCTTTAGTTTGGTACTAGGAGTCTTTACTTGAACAAATTTATGGGGTGATTCTGATGCAAGGAATTCCTGACCTCTTGAGAAACATATGCTAGGCTACTCTAAAAAGTAAACATAGGAAACACTGTTCTTTGGTCTTTCCATTTTATGAACCTAGGAAGTTCGTAAATGGGAAGGAAAGCTCTGGCATCTATTTAGCAAGTCAGAACCAGTCACCACTCACCCTCCCTCCCTCTCCTGCTGTCACAATGCTACGTTTCTAGCTCCAACTGGCATAGCATGGATGTTTTACTTCAATCCCAGATTTTTCTGTTCTTTTTTTATGGAAAGGGTAAGTAATGTAGACCATCTTGTGCAACAGAGAATGGAGGTGGTGAGTTTTGCTTGGATTTTTGTATGTTTCTGCTTCGAGTCTATTTTTAAATGTATATTTCCTGTAAATATTTCACAAGGAGAAAGCGCCAAGGACCCTAAGAAACTATTTTGAAAATGAAAAATCTCTTTCTAGTTTAATGTAGCCTGGCAGATGGACATCTAATGCTTTCTTTTGGAGGAAGTACATTGGGCTTTCTCTCCTTCCCTCTCTTTAATTTTTTGTGAGTGATAGAAGAAAGGAATAACTCGTACATGTAATCAGGGTTCTCAATTCTTTGTTAAAGGACATAGAAATTCATCAAGGAATTTTACTATTATCTTCCACATCTAGTCATACATAAAAATAGACTTCAGGATTTGGAGCTGTTCCTTCTAGACATAAAATTAATTTTCCAGATCAACATTATGTGTAGCTATTCTCTCATCTCAATATGATTTGTAGGGGGAAAAAAACTGGAAAAGGTGAAGCAACATAAGGACTGGTGGAGGGCATTTGGAGAAATTTTAAAATATGTGATTAGTATTCCAGTTAAACCTGTTAATTCAAGAAATTAATTGACTCATTTGTACAGTACTTATTGTTTTGTATAGCATGTGATGATTAATAAAGAACCTAAAAGGGCCCAATCGAGGAATTCTAGGATTTTGTCTATTTATTTATTTGTTCACACATGACTGCTGAATTCCACTTATCCTTCAATGCTCAACTCAAGTGACACTACCTCTGGGAAGTCTTCCTCTATTCCTTTCAGCTGTTTGTACTTCCCTCCTTGAAACCTCTACTCTAGTCAGCATTTTGTATTAAATTTATAATAGCCCTGATTATGATCTTCCATTGTAGATTCTTTCTTCTTTTTTTCTGTTAATATATTTTTTTGTCATTTTTGTTTACAGCTTAAACTCGGGGAATTCAAAATCAACATTGTTGCCTATGAACTTCTTACATACACCAGAAAGAGTTCAACCTTGTGTTCTACATTGTTTTGTTGGGCTTTATCCAAATGAACTTTTTTGAGCCCACTGTCATCCAGTTGCATTCATTCTCTTAGGATGAAGAAACACAGCTTCACTTGGGAAGACCACATCCTGCAGGATGGTTGTCAGAGTGTGGCTCCTGGGACACGCTTACTATTATTTTTTTAACAGCTTTTTCAAGTTGGCTGGGAGTAATAAAGACAACATGCTTCCCCCTGAACTTTTTCTTCAATTCATGTACTAGCTAGACTTGGGTTTTCAGGAAAGATTTCAGTTGAGGAATGGCAACAAAGATTATAATAGTTTTCCAATCATCACCAACTTCAGTTTCCTTGGCTGCTGTTATAAGTCAGCTCCCTTAGCTGGGCTCGTCAGCCTCAAGGAGAGTCTGGGAGATGCCAAACTTGACCTTGTCTGGCTTCTTATCATTGGGCTTCAGGATCTTTGAGCTCGAGCTAAACAGGTTTTCTCCTTGGTGAGCACTGGTCCAGCCATTGTACTCTTATCTGTTTAACTAACTTAGGAACCTATGTGTATATTAAAGGCTTCAGGCTTAATGTATTTTGGCACTTCTTGTGCTCAGCACAGTGCCTGACATGTAGTTGGTTTCTAACTAGCTAAGGTTAGTCTGAGAAATTATTTGTTCATCTCTTTAACAGTGTGTTTATGTGATCCTTCGAATCTCAAACTGCTGTGGCTGGAAGGAATCATAATTTTCCAAAGTACAGGTGGATGTGATGTGATTTCTAAAATGTATGATTTTCTATGTCTCAGTGTACATATCTATAAAATAGAGAACTGCTTATTTCATGTACAGCTGAAAACATCACTTATTAACTATGTGCTCATGGGTGAGTTATCTAAACTTTTTGAGGCCATTTCCTCTTCTGCGTTATTGTGAGGATTGTGATAAGCCATATAAACTGCACAGCACACAGTTTGCTAATGAAAAAGTGCCTAATAATAACTTTTTAACAATGAAATGAAATAGCAACGACTTACACTGATAAATGACTTAAGAAAGAAATGAAGTACTGTATGAGCAAGTGCTGAAGAGTGATATTAAATGTAAGGTTTTGTCATTATTGTAGCTATCGTTATTATTAGGACTTAGAATAAGAGCAATAACTACATTTATATTGGTAGTAGAATAAGAACATTGAGTCAGTAAAGGAATTCCACAGATATTCCAATGTTTGGATGCGTTATTAGTAAGTAGTGTATGTTGCTATACACATCACGAACGTACTAAGATTAAAACCTGGACTACGAGTTCCATCATGCTGTACGCCCTACCCCGCATGGAGGGGGGTTGGAGGAAGGGCAAAAACCCCTAGATACGGATGTACGCAGAAAACTGCATTTCCCAGAGTGCTTCGCTCCCACTTCTCCACTATATATAGTCCATCCGGGTTCTTCGAGATGCTGTTTGGCGACTCGTCGCCATTCCCGGAGCAGCGCGGCCTCGGCCTAGAGGCGAGTGTCGGTCGCTGTGTCGGAGACACCCGTCCCCGACACCAAGGCAGCCAGCCCTCTCCCCTGCCCCTCGGCGGGAGAGCGTGTCCGGCCGGCCGGCGGGGCTCGCGCACCCTCCCTCGCCTGACCTTACCCCGCAGCCTCCGCCCCGCCAGGCCCGGCCCGGACCTCCGAGCCCCGGCCTCCTCCTCCTCGGTTACTGCCGCCGCCGGGCTCGACAGCCCCGCCGGGCTCGACAGCCCCGCCCGCCGCTTCTCCTTTCAGTTTGAGAAGCCGAGGAAGGAAACAAGGAAAAATGTCGCCATGAAGGCCGAGAACCGCTGCCGCCGCCGACCCCCACCGGCCCCGAACGCCATGAGCCTGGGTCCCTGCCGCGCCCGCTCCGCTCCGACCGCCGCCGCCGCCGAGGCCCCCGTTGATGCCGCAGAGCTCCCCCAACGCCGCCGCCACCGCCTCCGACATGGACAAGAACAGCAGCTCCAGCAGCTCCTCCGCCTCTTCGGGCAGCAGCAAAGGGCAACAGCCGCCCCGCTCCGCCTCGGTGGGGCCGGCCGGCGAGTCTAAACCCAAGAGCGGTAAGGGCGCGCTCCCAAGGCGGTGGGCAGGGGACGACCGCCCCTAGGCCTGGGGAGGATCCTCGCTCTGGTGACTGGTAGGTCACTCAGGGACAGGCTCCGCTTTCTGTTGTGGTTCCTACCTTTCTTTTTCATGGCTCCCATTATTTACAATTAACACGTAATGAGCTTTGTACTTAGTGGTTTACGTGACTTCTTAGATTAATTCTCGAAACAGCTCAGTGAAGTAGGTACTAGTCGTAGGCCCATTTTGCGGATGAGGAAACTGAGGTTCAGAAACTGAAGTCCCTCAGCTAGTCCGTGCCTCACAAAAGGCCTTAAGATCTGATTTGCCTGACTCATCAGTCTACGCTCCTAAAACCATTAAGTTGTTCTACCCTATAATGTTGAATTTACATTGAATAGTGTTCAAGTTTAAACAGGGGAGGGGAGGGCCTAAGAACTTTACAAACCCATATCTAATATTTAGTTACCTGGCCCCAGATTCATCCTTTGCTGAAGAAGGCTCGTCCTTGAGTGATTTTGTCAAGTATGGAATAGTGGTGAAGAGCACGGGCTCTGGATTCAGTCTTTTTGGGCTTGCCAGACCTTGACTGAGTGTCTGAATCCCCTTACCTGCCAAGTAGAGATAACGATAAAAGGAAAACAAAGAGCTGAGGACTTGGGAGAGTACCTGACACCTCTTCATCAAGTACACATGCCTATTTCCCTATGTTAGGCGAGAGTGGTGTCATTTCTGGAGTCATGTCTCTCAAATAGTAAATAATAGCTACTATTTATTGAAGCCTTACCATATGCCAAGTACTGGGCTATGCTTTTACCTCTATTATTGATACTCCAGTCACCAACCTGTCCAGCGAGGTGGAATTGTTCATATTTAAAGGAGAGAAAGCTGAGAGGCCAGGAGTCTAGGGGTTGGCAGAGTCTGGAGTTGAGCTCTCTCCCTCTTAAAAGCCCTTGTACTAATCTCTGCTCTTTTGTATTTTGATTGTATTAGCAGTAATAGGAAGATGTTTTCTGTGAGATTGGGGACGTGTGGCAGAGGTGAACATTTGGAGTCCCTCAAATGGAGAGGTCTAGTTGTTCAAAACTTTTTAAGATTAAAAACTGTAAGGCTGACTTACAAACACACAGAAAAACAACTGTAAGGCTGACTTGAGTT